TATACTAGGGAAAGTTGCACACCAAAACGTGCATATTCGTGAAAATAGCATTAGAAATCCATTACAATAGGAATTACCTGCAAAAATGGATATTAGATAAAATTGTATTAATTTTTGAGAAATGTGCACAAAAATTCATGCATTTTTAATGTGAACTTCAAAGAAGCCTCAACATTTGGAATGTATTGAATTTAAGACTGGAAAAATAAGAAACCAAGAGAAACCAGAAGCATCCATTGCTAGTGGTAACCAGCATTTTAAACTGAGCGCAGAAACAAAAGAGAACCCAGAGCAAATACTACAACTGTGTCATTTTCTCCAAATAACAGTCTCCTGCCAAAGTCTTGCAGCTGCAAATTCTGTATCAGTGATTACCACTGGGTCGAGATTGCATTCGCAGGCGGCCCCTTTTACAATACTTGTGGGCAGATGAGCATCTGTTGCAGCTGCTCTTCTTCTTTACTATCCCATCCCACCTGTTCTGCCACAGCAACCAGGCAGTGTTCCAACAAGTGCCTTGGGAAGGCTGAGCCACACCTGCACTGCCATTCATATGACAAAAACATCTCCAGCAGCAGCGAGCAGTGCTTCCACTGTGGCGTTACCATCCCTTGGTTCTTGCAGGGGTCCTGCACCTTTCGGGAGTTGTTGTTACGAGTATATGTGCCGTCAAGCCCTCTCTAATGAATGGTGACCCCATGAATGAGGGCCCTCCAAAATGTCCTGTCCTTGACAGCCGTTCTCAGCCTTTGTGAACTCAGGGCTGTGCCTTCCTTTCTGGAATTGATCCACTGCATATTTGCCTTCTCTTTCATCTTCCGCCGTTGACTTTCCCTGATATGATTGTCTTTTCCAGTGGGTCTTTCTTGGTGTGCCCAAAATATGACAGCACATCATTTTTACTTCCTGGGCAAGTTCTGGCTTGATTTGAGCTTTCTGTCAGTCCAGGGTACTCACAAAGCTCTCCGCCAGCACCATGGTTCAAATGCCTCCATCTTCTTCCCGTCAGCTTTCTTCATTGTCCAGCTTTCACAGCCATACATAGTGATCAGGAACAGAATAGCGTGCCTCTTTCCTTTTGGAAACCAGCTTGAACGTCAGGCATTTCTTGCTGCTTATAGAGTAAAATTCTTCGCTGCAGCACATTAAGTACCACTTTGCTTGCATGGGAAATTAGTGCAATGGTCCTGTAGTTGCTGCATTCTGTAGCATCACCTTTCTTGGGGCATGGAATATATATTGAACGTTTCCATTCTGTAGGCTGTTGTTTTGTTTTCCATATTTGTTGACATATCTTGCTAGGATTTGGACCAATTCCATTTCCAATGCCACGATGGCATCTTTGCTGTCTCAATGTGCTGATGTGTGTGTGGCTGATGCTTTTTATGCCTGGCAAATGTGCAGGCATTGTCAGCGCACAATATTGTGATCGGCCAGTTCTGGCAGAGTTGCCACCAAATGTGGGAGGGTCTGTCAATGTAACTAAATTGTCTCTTATTTCTGTAACTGTTCTTGTGCTTTTCTCTGTGAACGTGTAGGATTGGGACTACCTGAGGCCAGTGTTAGCCTTGGCAACAGCTGCTGTGAGGGCCTTTGAGCCGCAGGACTGGCTGATGACCTATTTAGTGATACAATGAGTTCCATTCCACCCAGACAACCATAGGTACAGCCACTCAGAGAACCATCCTGGCTAATGGAGGGGGCAGAAATTTCATAGAAAGACAGATGGACGGACGGACAGACAGATTTAAATGTGATTCAGCATCATTCACTTTCTCTACATTGTCACCTTGTTTCAGCTGGAGTGTTTAGGAGGGCTGGTACCTGAGGGCTGATTTAGATATGATAGCAGCCATGTGGATTTTACTGAAAATAATTCATCCATAGTTGAGTTCCGTATGGCTGACTCAGGTAAGGCTTTTAATTCATGCACTAGCCTCTATATGCATAAAGTACACTTTCTAGCATGGGATGTATAGATATAGTGTCAGATTCCTACTTTTTGTGCAGTTTTTCCTATAGCGTTTGTGTAATGTACTGCATTGGGACAGTTTTTTTACATAAATGTGGATTAATTCTCCCATGGTCCTACTTCTTGAAATGAACAACTCTTCTTGCTATTATTGATAAGTTTCCCACCTTTAACCATCCAGCGGCTGGAGGCATAGCAGGATCAAGTATCAAAATTGTGCCTGTATTGCCGGTTCTCTTGACTGCGAACATTCCTGACATTTTACTCCTGATGAGCTCATGTTTGATCAGGTACAAGCTGTCTAATTATACAGATACTCTGTTTAAATGGTTCGATGTTAGCACCACCCCTCTAAGAAACCAGATAACCTTGCTGTCATTGGCTAAACTTTTTGAATTCTGGTGAAATGAGCATGGCTTTCATTTAACATTTGTAGATAGCAGGTAAGAGGCAATGTTTTGTCATGCATGAAACAGGAAGGTCTCTGTTTACATTTGGCAGCATTCAGAGATAAAAGTTGTCCTTTTAAGGTTATCTGTTCTGGCTTTGTTTTGAATCACAGTGACTTTAGTCTTTGCCCTAGTTTTCTTTCAATATTCTGCAAATTTTGTTTCTTGTTTCTTTTAATTTGCCAGTTAACATTAAGTGGTGTTACTAGCGTTTCCTACTGGAGTAGCAACATTCCTCAGAGCTGGTAGAAAGTGAGCTTGCTCATCTTCTGTGGTCCTGCCAATTCAGATATTCTGTCACTTGGGGTTTTAACAACTCCTGCTCCAAAAATGTGTCTTTCTGCCAAGAAGAGAATTGTGCCCCCCCCCCCCATTCCAGTCTGCTCTAACTTCCTGCTGTCCAGGTGGTTTGCACTTCAACTTCTATCATGCACAGCCAGCATGGCCAGTGGTTGGGGATGATGTGAGTTGTAATCCAAAGCATCTGAGTTGTGACCCAAAGCATGCTGAGAAGGACTGCCCTATTCTGAATGCTTCCTCTTCTGTCTAGTTCTAGGTGCTGATGCGGAGTTGGGTGGAAAGAATGACTGCTTTCCGTCACTGTTTTTGTTTCTCTCTCTCTCTCTTCCTTTCCACTATCTTTCACAATTGTCTCATTTTTTCAGCACTAGTTCACTTCACATTTTACATGATAGTTGTGTTTAATTATAAAATTATAATGATATATAATGCCTCCCTGGCTGGTTCATGGAATAAATGTAAGGTAAATATTAAGATCAGCCCCAACAAAATAAACCAAAAGCACAGTGGCAGCAAACAGCAAACCATCATCACTATCGCAGAATGCATTATTATTCTTAGGGTCTTTATTTGAGTCTGGCAGCTATGTCTCCCCTGCCCCATGTTTACTTTAGAGTAGGATCAGGGCCCACAATCTGGATCATAAAAATCCTCTCCACCCACCAGAGTAGGATCCCAAAGTCGAGGGTGAAATTGAAAAGGCACCACTGTAAGACACCCATTTAAAGTGATATCTGCTCTGGCCCTTAAAGTCTTAAAGGATTGTCCTGATAAGTCTCCTTGGGAAGAACCTCCATAGATTGGGCAGTAGATATTATGGAAGAAAAGATCTCCTATCTGATTAATGCACAACCTCTGTGCTCTATTAATGCACAACCTCTGATTGCATTAATAGTCCTGACAGGGCTACAGTTGATCAGTTACAGTGGATGCCTGCACACGGCTATTCAGGCGTAAACCCCATTGAGTTCAATAGGACATATAGGACAGTGGGCACAGGACTGCATCCCAGGTAAGCACAGTGGGTTCGTACAGAAGGACGTACTCCCTGTAGTGCTCCTGCTTATGGTTACATGCTTCCTCTTGAAAACAACCATGCATGATATTGAAGGTGGGAGGCACATGGTGGCTTTGGGGAAGTATTTTTTATGGTGCAAGTTCATGTTTACCCTTGTGTTATCAAATTATCTTTCTTTAATAAAAGCTTCTCTGTAAAGATGCGTTGGTTTAGCTTTCCTGCTGTCATAGTATTTCAGCATAGCAATTTGTTCACTAAATGTCTTTAAAATGTTTGCCCAGTTTTTACTGTGAAATACTTGGCTGAAGATTATGCCATATTAAACCAGTTTACTGAGAAATTCACTGCCATTCCTTTGTTCAGTTTGGGTTAAAAGGAGGATTTGAAAACTGCCAGTGCTTGTAATCAGTTTGCATCAGTGTAACATCTTGTGCTTTGATCCACTTGGGTTGCTCGTATTAACACAATACATAGAATAGACAACTGTAAAGATTTTAGTGAAGGCCCCTTGCTATGGAATAGCTTCTGTTGTATGCATGTGTTGATAATTTAATACTGAAAACTCATATTGAAATGATGAAAATCTCAGTTTTCTTTATGAAAGGAACATCCAATCTGCCATGTTAACCTAAGAAAATGTTAGTGTATGACTGGTATATTTGATCCATGATCTCTGAGGTTACCACTGGTAAGATTCATAAATTACAGCCTTATACAAGACATGGTTGCAGTGAATGGAGGTGTAGAAATTGCTTCCACATCTACAAGAAAACTTGATTAAAATGTAACACATTACAAGCCAAAAACTGGAAGGAGACACATTTATTTATTTACATTTTGAAACTCTGTCATTAGGATTAATCTCACAAAGGTGTCTTCTTTTGTTTGAATTGTTCTTTGGAATAATGGGTTTTATAGGTCAGATCATTTCAGAATAAATATTTAAGGGATATAAGTAGAAAGAAAGGACAGAAGGAATAAAGCACAGGGAAGCTGGCATTGTGAGACTAATCAAAAACTACAACTAATTTTAATTTGCCAAATCATATGGGCATTCCTGATTCACTTTGCTTTTTTAAAAAATGGGTATTCTGTGACTAGGCGATTTACAGTCCTGCAACTCCTGAGAACTAGGAGTGAGCGAGCAAAGTGTCAACAAGGCTATGCTTTTTTCTACCTTCTGTAGCTGGTGGGGTTGGGGGTGAGATTAGTTCTGCCATGTTAAGAAGGTGACTTAAAAGTTTGTCTGACTTCCTTTTAGGGGATCTTGCCTTTGGACCTTGGTGCAAATCCATTGGGAAAAGCAGCTGCAACAATTTAATAGTCACCAGCAGTCCAATGATGGTTCAAAGACTGGGACCTCTTTCTCCTCCTGCCCAAGAGGTCTCAACAGCACACAACCAAATCAGCCCTAGCTTACAGAGGGCTATGAATGCTACAAACCAGAATATACCTCCATCTGATACAAGGTCTTGAATTACATGTCTTTCTGTTCTTTTCTCTTTTTGTACAACAAAGCTGTTTTCATGTTGACAAATTCAGGGCAAGTTTTTGCACCATTCATCTTGGGATTAATCTTCCTGGTGCATATCTTGAGAATTTAAAATAGAAGCAGCAGTTTAGAATTTGTGTTAGCATCAGACTTCCAATTTTAAAACATCTTTAAAATCAGAAAAAAGGTCAGTCAGAAAAAAGAGTTTTTATAGAAGTTGGTGTTCAATATGTTCTTTTGGGATTATTCCCAGGATGTAGGAGTTATGAATTGTAGAACATCACAGTGTACTATGAAAATGTGAACTAAACTTTAGCTAGTGTGCATGGACTATCTATACGGACAGGGACTTATAGGTATCTGATAGTCAGTGAATGGTATCCCTTGATGCATGAGCATAAACTGCTTCTGCACATTTCCCCCTAATTCTGCCCTCCTGCCCCTGAACCACACTGCCAGGACTTTTAATATCATAGTTACTATTTTGAGAGCGCCGTGATCCTCAGAAGGGAATTTATGGGGGATGCTTGGAGCTACAGCAAGGAGGAGGGGCAATTCTCCTTGCACGAGTGTTCTCATGCCCTTGTGCCGTGTTGGATACCACCCAATATTGTTAGGGCACATTTGTATGTAGCTCAGTGTATGTAAAGCCAAAGATCAACACTTGATCTCAATTATTGATAATTAGTAGCAGACCACTGAGTACATAAGTATGCCAGTTGTTTCTTATAACTGCCAAAAACTAGAATTTAAGTTGTTAAGATGGCATTCTTGTTCTCTTACTTTGTCTTTACTGCAGATCCCTTATGTCACGTGAATCTTTGGCATCCACAACCTTAAGCCTGTCAGAAAGCCAGTCAATACAGAGTGTCAAACAAGAGTGGTTTCATGGTTACAGAATTTTCCCTTCTCTTCCTTCCAGCCAAGGATCCCAAAACGGCAGTGAGCTGGGTGACACTGCAAGTGTTGCATCTGGAATGTCCATGTCCAACAACATTTCTAGCTCACTTCCATCTTACTTGTTTGGTATGGAAAACAACCATTCTCCTTATCCCAGCCCTCACCATTCATCAGCCAGGTCTCATTCAGCCAAAAAGAGAGCTCTCTCTCTGTCCCCTTTGTCTGACGGCATCGGGATTGACTTCAATACGATAATCCGTACATCTCCCACCTCCCTTGTTGCTTACATAAATGGCTCAAGGACATCTCCATCAAACATCTCCCCTCAGCCTGAGGTCTATGGGCATTTCTTGGGAATAAGGGGAAGCTGCATTCCCCAAACTTGCTCTATTCCAAATCCTCAAAAAAGACTCCTTGTGGCTAATGGTAACGTTGCCCTCCAAGGCTACAGTGAAAATGGAAACGCTGAATACCAGCGCATGCAGCAGTTGGAGCAGAACAGCCTGCAGCCAGTGGTCACAAACAACATGGTTGTTCAGCAAGGTATGTCTCTGTTAGAGAGCCAGTCTGCGGGCGTGTTAAAGAGCGGACGTGTGGGTGATTTTTCTGGCAGTGCAAATGACCTGCCCACTGCTGCTCCACTGGTGCCCCCACTGCTTCCTCCACCACATGGTCCACCACCGCCATACCACGCACATCAGCATGACCTCATCAGTCGTTCTCGACAGCTTTCCTTACCACCGACTGTCCAAGGGCCCCTCCTAGAAGAGGACGGTGAACTAGATGATTTTAATGGCAAGCACAGCTGTCGCTGGATAGACTGCAGTGCTACCTATGATCAGCAAGAAGAACTTGTACGGCATATAGAAAAAATTCACATAGACCAGAGGAAAGGAGAGGATTTCACTTGTTTCTGGGCTGGATGCCCTCGCAGATACAAGCCTTTCAATGCCCGTTACAAACTGCTGATTCACATGAGAGTACATTCAGGGGAGAAGCCAAACAAATGTACGGTAAGTCCAAGATATATTAGGAAGAAATGCTGTTTGTTGTTTACATAAGGCTCATACTTTGCTAATTTTTTTCTAGTAGAATTTTTAAGGAAACAAGATGTGTTTATATTAATGAATGAGAATGAATGAATGAACAGACTTTTCATATGTTTGGACAGAGGGACATGTTTTAACTTCAGATATGCATAGTTTGAACCAAGAATGCATCTATTGTTTATCATATTTCCTTCAGCCCAGTCTTTGAGCAGCATAGTAAATACAAAGTTTTGTTGTGGTCTGAAAATCCTCAGCAATTTAGATTTAATAGAAGGTCTTCAGGCAATGATCTCTCAGTATTTTGTTCCACCAATATTAAATGAGCTCGCTTAGGAAAAGTTATTAGCTTATTTAGACAGAGACTTGGTCTATGAGCCAGGTCAGCACAAGCATATTCAGAGTTGCCTTTGAAACCCTGAATGTAAGAGTCCACAGGCTGCATCTGATCAGAAATAGCCAAGGGCCTCTTGAAATGCATCCAAAAAGGTATGAAATGGTTGAAACTTCAAAGATGTTTGTGTACGTCCTGACATTAATGGACCTGGGCCTAGGTAATGGAGCACTTTGAAAGGACCTGGGCTTCTGCTGAATCCTCCTGGCATGCCTGGGCCTTCCTCCCCCCTCCCCCCATTGCCTTCGTTGGTGGGGGCATGAAGGCTGCTCAGTTAAAAGAAGAATGAAATAGAAGCAGACTCTTCCAGGCCAGGCCATCCAACAGAAAGGGCCTTGCCTTGATGCCAAGTTAAACTGGAGATGGACACCACCTAGATTTGTTTTAATTATGAATTAGATGGTGGGGGAGGAATATGTGAGTTATTCTTCACTAAATACTGGTAACAATACATTGATTGCAGTGAGACTTAGAGCTGCCACCAAAATGCCACAGTATACTGGTGTCTGATGAGGTACAGCAACAAGGGTAGACAGGTCCCCAAAGAACTGCTGGTACGTGGGGTCACATGTTACATCTTTGTTTGGTAAGCTATATTGGTTTACTTTGGCAAACACCTGTGTTGTACATGAATATATGTAAAGTAGTTCTTGAGTACATTGTGGATTGGATTTCAGACTTGGTCAGGGGGCGGCAACCTGCAGCTCCGGAGCCGCACGTGGCTCTTGAGCCCACCTGCTGCGGCTCTGTTGCTCAAAACACACACCGGCACAGCTGCTGAACTGCTGGAAGCTCCACTCAGGAACTAGCACTAGTTAGTTAAGTAAATCAGCTGGTTAAGTAAATTGCTACATTCCTCTGCTAAACAAGCTTCCTGCAGGCTCTCATGTTACATGACTGCTGAAAAGATTCTCTTTGTCCCAATGTAATCTCCTTCATCTGAATGTTAAAAACTGTGCTTGAGACCTGTCACAATTCACAGCATTTGACTGTTTATCTGCTAATCAGTCACTAAACACACCTATATCCAGCACAGCTGCTGATCTGCGGACCCACACCAATTTACTGAGCTCCCCCCCCCCCCATAGGCCAACCATGGATAAATCGAAGAAAAGTTTCTGAAGAAAACCAAATGTTTAATGATACGTGGGTAGATTCATTTGCTTTTACTGCTGATGAACTTATGGGGTTTGCTGTTTAATGCATGCAGCCCTTTAGCACTGACTTTGACTCCTCAGGAAACTGTTCTCCTATTCAAAATATATTAAAGGAGTCCTACTAGTTTATAATGTAAGATTGAAAATAATAGTTTTTATGACTGAACAAGAGCTGCAGCTAAATCATAATGAAGATATAAATAGCATTAAGGTAAAAAAACGATATATGCAGTGTTATCTTCATTTTAGATGTCAAAAGGGTTTTGCGCCTCCTGGTGTTTTCTTTTGTGTGGGAAACGGGTCCAAATGGCTCTTTGAGTGTTAAAGGTTGCCGACCCCTGGACTTGGTGATCAAAATGATAGTAGAGTGAAACTTAGGTGCCTAAATGATTGAAGTGTGGGATGTGTGGGCACGATCCTAACATCCAGAAAGTAAGAGTTGGTGTTTCAGAAAATAAGCGTGTGCAATGGGTGCTTCCACACTAGATCTTCAGTGTGGAATTGCCACGCTTCATTCACTCAGTTTTTAATGGTTGTCCATATGACACTCTCAGTCCAACATTGACATCTTGCATTTCCTCTTTGATTTTTCTTTTCTATTTTTAGACTGCAAAAAGTCTGACTTCCAGAGAATGGAAGTATAACGCAGCCTTCAAAGGTGCAGACGCATTCTTTGGATCTTGCTCAAAGAGCAAAAATTTGATATACCGTATTTTTCACTCTATATGATGCACCTGACCATAAGACGCACCTAGTTTTTAGAGGAGGGATCCATGGAAAGCTTCCTGATAATCACAGGCACATTCCCCATCACTTCCCCATGGGCTTCATTAAAAGACGGGTTGCCATTTGAAAACACACACCGACCTGTGATTAACAGCTCTCACCTGTGCCGGAGGAGGGGGGCAGAGCAGGGTGCGCCGAGTGCGTGCCGGCCAGATGGTGCCATGTGGGGCCGGCAGCATGTGGCGGTGGTCTTCCGGGCGGCGTGGCAGCAGCGGCAGGTCTTCCCAGGTGGTGGGGTTGAGCAGTCCGCCTCTCTGTGCGGCCGGCGGGTTAAAGCCCGCGGTTCCTCCTCTTCTGCACGCCTCCCCCTGAGTGGCACAGCTCTCACTTGCGCCGGGGGGGGGGCGGAGCAGGGCGCGCCAAGCGTGTGCTGGCCAGGTGGTGCCACGTGGTGCAGCCGGGCCAGCAGCGTGCCAGCAGTGGTCTTCCGGGCAGTGTGGTGGCGGCAGGTCTTCCCGGGTGGTGGGGGTGAGCAGTCCGTCTCTCTGTACGGCCGGTGGGTTAAAGCCTGCGGCTCCTCCTCCTCCACACCACTCCCCCTGAGTGGCACTGCTTTCATCTGCGCCGGGGGGGGGGGGGGGGGCACGGCATGCCGAGCGCGTGCCGGCCAGATGGTGCCATGTGGTGCTGGCAGGCCGGCAGCGTCCCGGGTGTCGGGCACACACACATTCGCTCTATAGGACGCACAGACATTTCCCCTTACTTTTGAGAGGGAAAAAGTGCGTCTTATAGAGCGAAAAATACGGTAGTCAGTGGTGAATCAGGAAAGTGAGCCTCTCACAGCACCACACTGGTGTTGTCTTGGGGCAGGCCTCAAAGGCGTGGCGTGCAGGCGCTGTTTAATTAGCCGGGCCACTGGTGTGATCTTCCATGCTCCCCCTCAGGCTTCTGTATTCACTGTGAGCTCAGTGGCAGTACTGAAAGCGATTGGGGGGAAATGAACTTTCCCACCAACAATATATTGCTCTCTATTGCACTGCAAAGTTTTTTGGGGTGGCTTGGTCCTTAATGGGGAATTAAGACCCATTAGCTTTACAAAAACTTTTCAGTGGATATGGAAACTGATAGAAGAAGGATCAACAAAGCAACCCATATCTTTGAACTCTTTTTGTGGGTGGGGCTGTGGGAACCATCAAGAAGCTTCCCACACCTCAGGATTTACTACTACACCACAGCTGAGCATCCATTGAGTATTAGTCTTGTTGTGTTTGCCATTGTATGACCCTATTTATTTTTTTAATCTGTTTTTAATTAGTGCAAAATGCTCCCCCCCCAAGACACACAGAATATAGGGAGAAACCTTTTGACAATTTCCACATGACATTCTTGCTAAAAATGTTAACTTTAAAAAACTTTAAAAGATCACCGTCTCCACTGTTCATCACATTTCTAAAAAGGAGAATTGATCTTAAAGGGGTTTTTTGCTTAAGTTTAAATGTTACCATTATATAGTGCTGTTATAGCACAAGACTTCCACCTTCACCAGGGGGATGTTGGGGAGGCATCATTCACCTTTGCATTCTTTGAAAAAAGGAAGTGGTGTCAGGGGCAGAGGAGATGAAGGGCTTCCCCTCCTCCCCACAGGTTATCATTTCCTTTCATCTGCATAGCCCTGCACACCAGCGAAATTTGCACAAAATTTAGCCCCATCTCAGGACTCAGTGAAAGAGCACCACCACTGGCTCTTTAATGACTTTTCAGATATCCCCTGCAGTTCCTTCCAAAAGCGTTTTCCACTTGAAGGCTTCTGCAGCTGAGAGATGGGTCGAGATAGATTCACGAACCGAGGCCCTTGATGGCAGCCTCTCTCCTCCAGGTAGCCTTGCAACATGTCTAAAAAACTTTAGGGACAGCATTTCTAGGCAATGTTGTACTCTTAAAACCAGCTGTAATTCAACATAACTTACGCCATTGACATGCCTTTGAAAGAAGTATCTCAAAACAGTAGTTCTAAAACAGCTTTAGTGTGCAGTACCAATTGGTGACAGTAGAAGATTTTTAAGTTTTCATGATGATTTACAAAGGGGTGCATTCTTACCGTTCAGGATCCCTGTATGGGAGAAGAATGGTTAATGAAGTCATTCTTATTGCTGTTCCTCTTTCCTCCTATGAGATAATGCTATGCAATTTCAGCTGCGAAAGAGAGATATTTAAGTAGCTCCAGTATCAGAGACAGTGTGCCCATGCATGCCAGTTGCTGGACAACCTGGAGAGGAGGGAACATTCCACACATCTGTTTGCATGATCCTTTCCTTGCCCTTGACTGTGGGACCGAGCCTCGGTCAGATCCAGCGCAGCCCTTCTTACAGGCCTAGCTTTCTGTCTATGTTACACCAATGACAAGTACATGATAATGGCACTGACGGCATTCCCAAAATATATTTCTGGATTGAAATGCAAATCTCTGTTAACATATTCACAAACAGGCAACAAAACATTTTTTTGGCTTTGTAGGAAAGATATCCCGAGACACATGTTTGCTGTTGGTAGTCTTTTTATAATGTAGTTACTTTAAAAGGTATTTTTTATTCTTGGAAGAAAGCAGAAACAATATTATTGAAAAGTATATAATAGCCCTATTTGTGCATTTAGATTCCAAACAGGGCAAGCACGTGAAGAGAAGGAGCTCC